TTGGGGAGAAAAAAAGCAGGAAAAAAAAAAAAAGAAGATTGGCAACAGTTGTCAGCTTGGGCGCCAATCTTTAAAAAAAAAGAATGAAGTGTCTCAGCAAAGCAGCAATAGAAGTCAACATCCTTAATCTAATAAAAGATATCTACCAAAAAACCTACAACTAAAATCATACTTAATGGGGGAAATGTTGAATGCTTCCCCTTGAGTTAAAAAATAAGACAAGAATGTCACTTGGATAATGAATTTGTTTTCTGTTTAAATCATATCAGAGGTAATTTAATATTTTGTACCAGAACCTTTTCAGAGCAAGAGGGCTGTTTTTCAGTGGTCCTGAGTAGTTCTCCGATTTGTTCTCTGCCGTGTGAAGATGCTCTGTAGAATGTGTCCAGTGATGCGATATAAAAGCATCCCTAATGCTTAGTGCAGTGTGAGTTAGCACATCTTTCGGCTGAGAAGTTTACAGTATTATTGAAAATCCTTAAAAGGAGGGTATCTGCGCCTGGGAGGGGTTGCTTGAGGGCTTGTGGGGAGCCCCTCTCCAGATTTGGGTTTGGAACTCTGTGCTACAATTCACAGCACCGCTGTCAGAGCTAAAGCAGCGATGTGCCTTCCTCTGCATTTCTGAATCAGTGCTCAGGATAAGGAAATACGTTTCTCCGTCGATATGCCTTTACATAGTCCTCTGGCACAGGTAACAGGATGACCTCAAAAGATTTGAAAGTTAAGTCGAAAGTCTTTGGAAAGAAAATGTGGTATTGTCTCAGCAAGAGTCCAAATTCCTTTTCGATTTACTGGCAAAGCCTAGAAAAGACTGTCTACTTAATTATGATAAATTCACCTCATTTCTTTCTTGATGTGAGAAAAAATTTAAACCACTGATTGGTGAGCTGTCTCAGAAAAAATGGAGATAGAAAATTGACCCCCATTTGTTATGGCAGCAGTAATATGTACCACATAAGGTGGATGCGAGGCTTAAATAGATAAAGCAGCTACACTTCACACAAGGCGGGGCCCGTAGTTCATCGTGGTTTCTACAATTCTTCTTAATATCATCATCGTCATCATCGTCGTTGTGGCCATCATCATCATTGTCATCATCACTAATTGAGTATCACATGCCATGTGCCAGGCCCATATGAAAATACTGAGGGCAGAACCATACCTATTTGTGGAGTTTCATAATCCCTGGGAGATACTTGGTCGTTAAAAATTCATGATACAACTATTCTTTTTTTAAAATTGTTTTTGTATCTTTTTTTTCTGTTTCTTTTTTTAAAGATTGGCCCCTGAGCTAACATCTGTTGCCAATCTTCTTTTTCTTCTTCTTCTTCTTCTCCCCAAAGCCCTCCCAGTACATAGTTGTATATTCCAGCTGTAGGTCCCTCCGGTTGTGGCGTGTGGGATGCCGCCTCACATGGCTTGAGGAGCCGTGCCATGTCTGCGCCCAGGATCTGAACCTGTGAAACCCCGAGCCACTGAAGCAGAGTGTGTGAACTTAACCACTTGGCCACAGGCCTGCCCCATGGTACAAGTATTCTTAAAGGAAAAGATTGTAAGTCCGCCATACTACAGGCTGTTGAGAAAGAATTTGTTAATCAAGTATTCTAGGAAACGGGCTCCTAAGAAATCTTATTAAGAATATTCAACCTGAATATTAACACACACAAGGAAGTGTTAAATGTAGTGTTGTGAAAAGTCAACCCAAATGTGGATCAAGAAGTAGAGACACATCTTGAAACAGGAAAGCACCTCTTCTGAATTGCTCCCCAAGTCTTGGGTCAAATGCCTGCCCGGGTTTGCACCTGCTTGACTCCACCAGCAGGTGTTGCTGTGAAGTAGAATAAGGCCTGTCCGGATATGAACACACAGAGCTGGGTTCTGGGAATGGCTTACCCACAATGTAAGGGAATCTTCATGGTTGTTTATTTGTTTGTATTTTTGTTTACTTATTTTTCTGTTTAACCCACTGGGAACAACTTGGAAAAACATTTTTAATATTAACTATTTTATTTCAAATATTACTGTACAGTTTAGAAAGCTCTTTTTATACACTATCTGTTTTTATGTCATCCTCATAATAACCCGTCAGCAAGGAAAGCAAATCCTATTAGAGCTAATTTCTTTGCTAATTTGAAATTCATAGTTGGCAGGCCCAAAGTCTTATAGTTAGTAGGTGATGGTGCGAGGACTTGAATGCTGGATTTCTGACCCCAAGCCCAGGAAGCTTTCCTCTACACTCCAGATTTATAAAACATTCAGATTTGCATGCAAGGGTCAGCAATCTAAATTTTCAAGTTCACCGAATCCAGGAATATATAAGTGAATGTGTACAATTACTTTGACCAAGATTTTTAACTTTACGAGTATTATTTCTTAAGTGGCTAAAAGATAGTTCTGGGAACATTTGGCCTTAGTAAGCTTCTTAGCAAGCTTTCAATATAAAATTTAACAAGAGAGGTAATAAAAATCAATTATAATTTCTTTGTTTTCAGATCCAATTCTTTGTTGAAGCGAAGTTAATTAAGTAATTGTAAATACCAAGCTCTAAAATTCTACAGTATGAACTTAGTAGTCAAATGTTCTTGATATTTTTTAAAGTAATTAATACTTAATTACAAGCCAATCTATATTGTAATAGACAAGGAAAACATCAACTCTGTTTCGTTCATAATCTATCACTGCAGAAACATTGCTCTCCTGACACATAAGTATGTACTAGTGTGACAAGTTGATAAACTGTCACAATTTGCCTGGAACTGAAGGGCTTTCCGGGACACAGGACTTTGAGTGTTAAGGCCGAGATGGCCCTATGAGAACCAGGACAGCTGGTCCTTCCAGCACACATGTACCACTGTATATATACATGTATACGAAGTGTTATGCATTAGTTCCACACATATTTTTCCTCCTAATAACTTGAGTAACGTTGCACACTAATTGTCCTATGCCACAACATTGCAATGCCCTCACTGGCTATTCTTGTGAATGAAACTCTTTGCCAATGTGCTAAAGTAAGCCAACTTGCTGATATTTCTTTTTAGATATTTTATTTCTGTTTTACACATTTCTTACTTCCTCCTTTTGCTGGCACTATGTATTCTAAAGCTCACTAAATGCTACTAGTTAGTAAAAAGAAAAGTCAGATAGCTAACTTCCTGAGAATTTGTAAAAAGTATTTTCTAAGTATAGACAATGAGTGTTTGAGGGAATAAAGTACATGGTTTCTTTAATTAAAAAAAAATTCTCTACTGGATTGGCATTAGATTAGGTGGACAACCAATAGTGGATTAAAGAAGAGAGCAGTATATTTTTCTCTCACGTAAAAGAAGGCCAGGGCAGGGAGCCCAGGGCTGGCAAGACAGCTTCGCAACATCGGAGACACAGGCTTTTTCAATATTGTTTGAGTTCATCTCATGGTCTAAGATGGCTGCTGAAATTCCCATCATTACTATATTCCAATCAGTTGGAAGGAGGATGGGAAAGGCAATCATCTCCAATATTTCAGCGTCAGCCAGGACTTAGTCACATGGCCACACGTAGCTGCAACTGATGCTGGAAAGAATAGTGCTCTGGAGTGGCCATATATGCCATTAAAACTAGAATTCTGTTCCTTAGGAAAAGAGGGAGAATAGATATCAAGGAACAGTTAGAAGTCTCTGGAACACTTCTCCAGACTTACTTCTGTAGCAGATGAAATTTCTAGTTTTGCAATCCATGAATTACTTTATTTCCTTCTGTTTCTTCTCTGCCCTCAACATGCAATTCCCGTAAAAAAAAAATTTTCAAAGTTCCCTTACATTTAACGCCGTCAATGTATGAGTTCACATATATTTTGGCCTGCCTTATCTTGGGTCTCTTGAACAGATCTAATTCATGCTGAAATGTGGAAAGGAATTGAAAGCATGCTTAATCTCCCCTTAAGGTTTGTCCAGTATTTCTTCTTCCAGCTAAGCATTCAGGCTGTGCCCACAATGGCTAAACAGGGCCTTGCACACAACCACTGTGCCTGCAACTTTGAATTATGTCATCTCCAAGGGGCTGAGACTGGCCCAGCAGCTCAGAACTGTGAACGATTTTCTTAGAGACTCATCAGTCAGGTTTTGTGGGTCTCACGAGTGGGATGAAGCTGTAGTGATATCACGAGCATCCTCAAAGGCTCCTAGATACATGGAATTATATTGCTGAAAGGCACTAAAAATCCAACCCCCTCCCTTTCCTGAGAAGACCCAAGGGAGTTAAGTAACTTGTCTAAGGACACACAGCTAGTTAGTTACAAAATGTGGTTTGGTAATTACTCCTGGCCCTGTTCTCCAAACCTCACGAGGAGATGACCTGTGGTTGTTCAGGCCCCATCTTTAGGCGGACACACCACCTCTACGGTTGTACGATATCTCCACTGATGTTCACAAGTGGCTCTGTGCTGTTCCCTCAGGCCTGCACGGCCCGTACAGGGGAGAACACTGGTGTGGCGGAGAGTTACCTCCCGTCTGCAGGGTGAACGAGGTTGGCCGTCCTCTCCTTCCTGCAGAAGGAAGAGAATGGGGTGTGCTTTCAGGGCAGGAGGCCTTGTTTCTTTTCCAGATTCTTAGATCGCCCAAATAACAGTCCTAAGCCACCTCTTGCAGGTGCCACGTGTATCTGGGAACCTTTGCAAATTCATTTGTTTTCCATGTTCCACAGCACAGACAGTTGTGGATGCTCGTAGAATCATCACATTGGAAGAGATCTAGAAATCATTATTTACTCAATTCCTTGATTTCTCAGTTGAGAAAACTAAAATCCAGGGAGATGAGTTGACTTAGCCAAGATCATATTTCTTGCTTATGATTTACAGGATGCTAAAGCTTAAACAACTCCATAGTTTGTCTCTAACAATGTTGACTATTACTATTTACATAATAGATTAGTATCTGAAAACTAATTGCCTGCTTTAGATGAAAAAAGAAAACTGTGGATTTGCTCCAAAACATCTTTTAAATTTAAATTTAGACGACACGGGCTAGTTTTAGAAAATATTTTATTTACAGTAGAGCTTTACAAAAATAGTCTTAATAAAATTAATACAAAACCATTTTACAATATAACTTATATAACTATCTTCTCAAAAAAGTGACATTCGATTATAACATATAAACTACATTTGTATTTGTTAAGTCAGATTGTAGTATAAATATGTTTTATCCTCATTTTTTTGTAATAAGGTACATACCAGTAACAATGAACAATGGACGACAAATGTTATTTTATTATTCTTCCAATGTAAAATTTATCTCTGGCCAAAACAAAAATAACCAGAGAAAAGTAAAACAATTGTCCTTCTGTTCAACAATAGAGTCCTTTTTAATTATTTGAGAGTTTATCTGACAAAGACACAGCATTCATCTGAAAGCACCATGGCATAAGGTCTAGTAACAATATCCCCAAAAGGCTTCTCCAGCGTCTTCCCCTCAACTGTGTATTCAATGTTTTTCCAAGACAAATAAAAATGGATCTTAACTCTCTCCTTCATTAGTCTCAAGCATTCTTAATACACACTGAGGTTTCTTAAACCTTCCCAACTGGCATATGTTGAAAATGTGAGTTTCCTTCTTTGGCTTCAAGCAGAGTTTTACAACACTTATGAAACATACTGAGCTCCTCCGTGTGGCTGAATCTCTGTGACTCCCCACCCAACAACATTTCCCCGGATGTGACAAGACTCTGCTCCTCCGGTCTCCCTTATCTCTTCATTGCTGAGAACATGATCCCAGATATTGAAGCCTGTGAGTCTTCCAGAAAAGGCTAATGTTTCATCAAAGCCACCACCCACACAGCAGCCGTTCTTTTCTTGGCCGATCTGCAGGATTCCTCCCTCGGGGACAACATGACCTGTGGCCATCTCGACAGTGGAAGCCACCAGTTCACCGTCTACCCACAAGGACGTGCGCCCTTTCTCTGAATTCCAGGTGCTGCACAGATGGGTCCACCTCCCCAGGGAAACCACAGTATCAGCGACCAGCTTGCTCTCCTCTCCACCCACCACAAACACTATGGACTGGGAGCTGAGGTACAGCTGGATCTCATATGGATTCCTCTTTGTGCCATAGGAAAACAGGATGGTTTTGTTTAATACGTCTGTGGCTTTGACCCAAATGCAGGCACTAAAAGACTCAAGCCTCAGTGGTCTCGCCGGATGCACGCTTCCAAAAATCTTCTTGGAACGCATTGGGAACAAAACCGCTGTTTCACAACCTAGAGTAGCAAGAAAGTAAGAAGAATATGAGAGAAAATATAAATTCATTCAGAAATGATTCTGGCATTTAGGCATTTTAATGACTACAATTGAAAATTATAGGCAGCATCACATTATGACTTGAGGGCCCCCAAGTATGCTCTCTGCAGAGCATAAGCAAAGCACACAGGAACAAGGAAGCCAGCGGTCTTCCCCAGCGAGCAGCTAAATGGAGAAGAAGGCAGGCAGAGGAGCCAGGCTGTCCAAACCCACAACAGAATGACAACCGCGTTTTAATAACTACTGCCCCCTCCAGATAGCTTATTTTCTTTGTTACAGCTTTTTAAAAATGTTGAATGATGCATTAACTTTAAACAATGACACTGTAATTTCCAAGAACTTAGAGCCAAACTTGTTTCCATCTCCTTGACTTCACCAAACTCCTAGAACAAAAAATCTGTGAATGCAATGGACCTAGCTCACCCCATTTAGCCATTGCCAACATGCAGTTTTAAACAAAACTCGAGGACAGGCATGTTGTTGCTGAACACATTTTAACATAGCACATGTTCTCAGATGTTTGTAAACTCTGCAGTTTATAGAACACCACTTGTGAAGGACAACAGTGTGTAATAATGATGACTAACTCCCATCAAGTACTAACTATGTGCCAGATACTGTTCTAGTCACTTCAGATGTCATTTTAATCCTCCTACCAACCCTAAGAGATAGTCTTCATAGTCCCATTTTGCGGATGAGAAAACTGAGGCATAAAGCCCTAAGTCGCTTGGCTATGCTTATATAGCTGGCAAGGGGTGAAACTGGGCGTTGAGATTGGGCACACTGGCTGCAGAGGCCACATCCTTAGCCAGCACACTGCCTTGCTTCTTAATGGTAGAAGAAACCTCGGGTTTGGCTAGAAGAGCTGAAATTCAGTTTGTTTTGCTACTAGTAAGCTGTGCAGCTTTTCATGAGTCCCATAATCTCTCTGAGCTTTACAGCTATCTGTAAAAGCCTCTTCCCTTCTCCTTCTAATGCTCTGCAACTCTGTAAGCAACAGGTCTGCAGCTCTCAAGAAGAGTTGCATAGACCAAGCATATGCTTAAACACTCTTACTTTGTCCATATGTTTATAAATACTATTTAAGCAGTAATAAAAAACCTTTAAGGAAGAGTGAATGCTTCCAAGGGGCCTGGTGGAGAACATATTTCTGCTGAAGAGCAGTTAGAAGGAGACTTTCAAACTTGGGGGTTGGGAGCTCAGTAAACTCCCACCTCGGTGCATCTCCAGGTCACGTGTCCAGTCAAGGAGCTGGAGATGCTGAAGTGAAGGCCTTCCAGGTGTCTCTGGGAAACGATGTGATAAAACCTTTAACAAGTGAGCTCTGCTTTATGCTAACCTCATGTATGTATGAAAGATCAGATAAAGAATTTTTTTAAAAAATCTAAGTTAGGGCTAAGTATTCACTTTATAACAACCTAAAAAAGATTTGCCGTAAGATAGCTTTGAAAAGCAAACTCCCGGAGCATTTAAAGACTAACTGCTGAATAGACAGAACTTGCAGGAACCAACACCCATGCAGAGTGCAGTGAAGTAACGTAAACACCAGCAAGGGGCTGAGGGCAGTCTCTGTCCTGAGAAACTGAGATGTGGACCTTATCCTTTAGAAATAGACAAAGAAATATTGAGATTCAGAAAATCCTCTAAAAGAAGTTACAATACCAAAGCTCAAAATTGGCCCCATCACGCTTTGTTATTAACTTTTTCACTGAATAATTTGAAGTTTTGAAGATTCTTTAAAATTAATTTTTAAAGAGGCATTGATTCTTTTTCTCAAATGAAATTGGTAGGTTCATTTAAATCAACAAACTGGGTTAATTAAATCAAACGAAGGTCATGGAACAAAAGATCAGCATATGCATGGGCATTGAGAAATTCTCGGTAACGTCCAGTAAAGTCGTGTTCAAGAAGGTGCCTACTGCAATCTACTATAGTGACGCCCTGTTTCAGTAAGCCCAGCAGTCAGCACTGCATTCCAACCATCCCTCGCTGGCCGCGCTGGCCTCTTGGAGACTCAGCTTCCTCTGGAGGCTGCACTGGCTCTCTGAGTTCATAGAGAAGAACTACATGCTCGTGGGGTTTTTGTGGCTTCTTTTGGGGACCAGTGATTCTCTTGATATTTCTTTAAAATATGAGAACTTTCTCATGAAATAACCTTTAACTAATAGGTTTTTCTGATTATATTATCAAAGACCAAACAAAATTCCAACCAGGTTCTTAGGAGACCGACAACAGAATGATTAGGAATCCCTCAGGAGCCAAGCTGGCAGGAAACAAGGGAGGGGAAAGCAAAGCATGTGGGGAAAGTACTACTCGAGGTAACAAGAAATTAACATTTTAGAATTCAGAAATGCACCCTTCTTCTGCTCTAACTAGTATGCAGAAGTGACGATGAAAATTAGCATAATGCTACAGTAGTTTTGTTATATGTATAATGATTATACATGGTTTGCAAAAGACAAGAAATTCCATCCATTAAAATAGCCACAGAATTATAATTTGCCTCTTTGTCACTTACACTGTGGATCTATTGTATATTTGGTTTATGCTTTTCCCCCTGTGAAGCCCTACTTAATATTTAAGAAACTATGCTCTGCACTGATAAACAGTCCTCAAATCTTTAGAAAAAACTGACATTCCAGTCTGACTCCTGTAATTCTAAGTGAAACACGCTCTCATACCTGCTATGATTCTCCCTCCCACCCCGTGCAGTAAGAGCTGTTGTACTGGAAACATAAGGAAGCATGGCATTGCTTGCACTTGTTTTCTGTTTATGAGATTTTCAGGAAAAGTATAAGCTATATTTTCCTACCTAGGACACTGATTTTCTAATATAAACCATAAATGACCGTTGCATCACCATTTCTTAGAAAGTTTGCCCTATAATGGAGTGTCACTTGGCTCTAAATCTTCTCTTTGTTTTTTAATATCTTTAAAATGTATTATTTCCGGCCCACACGTGTTTGGAGATTCAAATAGCATCATATGAACTTTGACAAGATGCAGCTAGTTGGAAGGGCCTCTCTCCTGTTTGGCCCTGATCCTCCCATCCCCGGGGTGGCCCAGATACCAACTGGCTCCTACACCTGACTGTTCCCCTTTGGATCCCGCAGCCACCGGTTAATCCCAAGCCGCACATCCTCCGCCCTCCTCTCTCACGCTAATTCAACAGACCTCTGGGGGCTGGGGGATCCCTCAGGAATTCCACCAACCCTCGGGGAGATCAGATCCATCCCAGGTCTCTTGCTCAGAAACAGCAGGGAGGAGGGGCCGGCCCGGGGACTGGAAAACGTCCCTAAAAGTTAGTCTGGGCCTGAAATAGCCCGGGGAACCAGAGCTCCCCCCAAAAGAGAGACAGGCTAAAATTAGAAGAAGTGGAAATCCCTAACGGAGGGAAGCAGGACAGTGAGAGAGGTCACGGTTATGATCGGTCAAGGGAGCTCCTGCAATGCCTGGTAGGATCGGGTGTCAGTCAGGGGCCCTTGACGTCTATTTCAAGACTATGATGGTGACGTCCACGGCTATCTTCTGGGATGTCTCGGGGCTGGAGGAGACCTTTTAAAGCCAGTTTTCCTGCCTAGCATGGTGCGTCTGAGCTCTGTGACCGTGCATGGAGAAGCGGAGGTCCGCGCGCCCGTTTCCCCCGGGAAGGCCTCCCCCAGGGGACTGCCGGCCGCGGCGTCCCGCAGAGCGCGCTCTAGAACAAAGCCGCGGGGGCTCCTCACCTGCGGGCAGCCAGCGCGGGGCCGCCCCGGCCTGCAGGGCGCGCAGGTCGGCGCGCGTCTGCCGCAGCTCCTCGAGCGCCGCGCCCTCCAGGCGCGCCAGCCGCCGGCCCGCGTCCCGGCTCTCCTGCTGCAGCTCGGCCAGCGCGCGGGCCAGCCCGGCCTCCGCGGGGGCCGCGGGCGCGCACGGCCCCGCCAGGCGGCCGGCCAGCCGGCCCAGCTCCTCCCGCAGCCTCTGCAGCTCGCCGCGCAGCACGTCGTCAGTGGCCTGCAGCAGCATGCCCTCCCGCATCTGCGAGTTCTCCAGCATGGTGAAGAGCTTGTCCCACTCGGAGTCCTCCCGGCGGCAGTCGCACGGCGTGGCTAGAGCGCGGGACACACACACGTTACCGACCCGCCCAGGCCTTCCTTGGGTGCTCTTTGTAAAAAGCTGACCTCCCTCGGCGGCCCCAGGTTACAGCCCATCCCCAGCAACCCCCTTCCCTTTAAGGACACCTCCGAAAAACAGTGTGTAAATATCTTGAGAATGACAGAAACCACTCATGCAGGTATATATTAAGTTGAACTCTATGAAATTGCCATTCATGTAGCTCAGAGCAGGCAAATATCGGCGATTTCATACGGTTCAACCCACTGTGTATCTGTGATAGAAATAACTTTTTGAAACCTCCCCCTTTCCTAAAGGGCTTCTCTCTTTTGCAAAATAAACTATAATTTTTAGCTTATTTCATTGGCTATAAAGTATATGCATAATATTTAGACCCAAAGAGGTGGATATGTAATTGGGGTTAGCAGAGAAACAGTTAAAATGAACTTACGGTCCTCGGTGGGATGGAGTCCATTGTCTATTTCGTTGTCCAAGTTCACATACATGAGCTCATAATCGTCCGAGTTCTCGGCCGACACTACAGACCAGAGAACACAAAACAGAATCGCAGGGAGATGCATTGCCGGAGAGAGACGAAGCTCTTGCCACAACCGGCGGTAGGAACGAGGCCAGAGGCTCTCCAGGGAGCGGAGAAGGAGCGCGGACTCTGAGAGGCAGGAGGCGAGAGCCCTTAATAAATGCTGGGAGAGTCTGAATGGGGATGAATGAGTAATGCCGGTGGCACTGCGGCAACGGGAGTTCCCTGAATTTGGGGGAGGGGGCTGGCGGGGACAGGGAGGGAGATGCGCACGTTGCACAATAGTGAAAAGCAAAGGTTTACACAGCAGATTAATTGGAGGAGGGTCAGAGGGGAAAGAGGGGGGAAACCAGGGCTGGGAGTGTCCCCTGAGGACCGGCTGTTGTAACTTGAATTCGTAGCCCTCAGGGATGAAAGGGCGGGAGGTGGGTTAGGGAGAGAAATAGTTCAGCAAGCATAGAAGTGTGAAGCAAGAGCATCGTTTCAGCATTTTGTGTGTGCCTTTATTTCACAACCCTTTTCACTTGCACACAGTTTTATAGGTCTAAGCTGAGCAAGGTATTCGGTGATTCCAAGACAAACTATTCTATGGCTCCAGAAGCCAAGTCCATTCTGAGTTATTTGATCTTGAATCCTTCTGGAATTGCAACTATACTTTTACAAACATGTATTTTTTTAATGACAAACAATATGGCAAAACTGGCAAACCTAGAATAAGAAAGAGCTGGGGGATAGGAGTAAACTGATTTTAGATACGCTTCTTTTCATAACCTGGTATTATATGAAAATTATATTATTTCACCAGGCTTAGAATCAAAGATCATATTTTTAAGTAAATTTAGGGTAAATTCTGCCAATATATGGGGTCTGTTTAAACTGAAAACTTTCTGGCACAAAACACCTAGAATTGTGTCTACATAATAATAATAATAAAAACTTTAACTATACAAATGAGTTCCCCGTAAAGTAAGGGAAATTGTCCAGGTGCCAAAGACAGAGAGGGAGCTGAGACAGAAGGTGAGCCCCAGAGCTGCAGCTGGGGCTCCCTTGGAGGGGGTAGGAGTGGAGGTTATCAGGGCTGTGACAACCACCAAGTGGGGGCTAAGCTTAGGCCAGGTGAGGAGGTGGAAGTGAGACTGGCACGTAAAGCTGGACCCTTAGAGTTACCTCCTGCATCTCAGCAGGCACAGCCGCACTCTCTGCCCAGCTCAGGAAAGTGAGAAGTCAGCACGTCCGTGTGACTGAACTCCACAGGGTCCCTGAGAGTTTGTGACTTGAGGCCTGCCCTCACACATGTTTGAGATTCAAATGTATATCGTCTGCCACAGTAAAAATAAACTCACAATGAAAAGTACGTAAATGTAAGAGGAAACAACTCACCATAAATGAGAATCAGCAGAAACCAAAAAGGACTAGACACTCCTCCCTAAAGAACTTCATTTATTTAAAATGTCAGCTAGAAATTAGAAAATAAATGTGTTTAAAATTATTTAAGATCAGCAAGAAGGAATTGGAAACATGAAAAAAAGAAGACATTGTCAAAAGAAAAAAACTAGGCAGATTTTTTAAAGAACCAAATATAACTTCTGGAATTTTTTAAAACGTTAATTAAAATGTTTAAAAACCCTCAAGGAATGGGTTAAACAGCAAAGTAGGCAAAGCTGAAGAGAATGTTAAGGAACTGGAAGAAAGATCTAAGGAAATAATCCAAAATGTACTCCTTAAGTTCAGTAAAGTATTCTAAAATCCTTTCATTGTTCAGGGGGTGATAGAGAAATTAATTAATTTTGCTTTGTTAGTTCAAGAATGTTTATCTTTTAAAGCACAACCACCAAAACCAAAAGGAAATAGAACATCCAAATAGAGGAATTTAAAAAGAATTTAAAAAAACAACCTTGATCTGATCAATAGAAAGCAGTGAAGGAAAGAAGAAAAGCATAGACAAAGATAAATAAAAAGCCCAACATAATGTAGTAAAAATAAATCCAAATATACCAATAATCACCATCAGTATTAATGAAACAAACTTTCCAGCTAAGAGACCAAGGTTGACAATAGGTATATCTTTCAAATTGCAAGCTATATGTCACTTATAAGCACCACATATAAAAAATGAGAATATAGAAATGTTGAAAGTAAAACATGTAAGAAAGCAGGGATGGAGCAGGGAAAGTATACCAAAAATATAGCATAGCCATATTAATATCAGTCAAAAATAGACGTTAAGGCAAAAAGAATAATTAAATTATGATTTTAAAAAACCACTTTGCCAGGAAGATACTCAGAATTATCTAGCAACATAGTTTCAAAAACTATATATCAAAGATGGACAGAATTATAAGGAGAAATTGACAAATCCATAGTCATGGAGGTAAGATTTTAGCATACCTCTCTCATAACTGATAAGTCCACTTTTGTCATAAGTGATCATTCAAATGCTAAAAAAAAAACTGCTGAAAAATACAGAAACTTAAACTATATCATTTAAAGTTCAATATAATGAAATAGGTAAAGCATTGTCCAGAAGGTTTGATAAGCAAATTCTGCCAAACATTCAAGGAACACATCATCCCCATCTTATGCAAACTGCTTCTGAGAATAGAGGGTGCAGGAACGTGCTACATTCTTTTCATGTGTCCAGCAAGTATGGTACCAAAAAGAGACAAGGACAGTACAAGAAAGGACAAGTGCAGGCCAGTCTCATTTAAGAACATAGATGCAAAAGCTACAAATCGGATACCAGCCAAATGAACCCTGCCATATATGTACAAAAACACATCATAACCAAGGTGAGTTTTTTCCAAAACTGCAAGATTGATTAAACGTTAGAATATCTATTAATTGATTATATTAATTGATTACATTTATTATATTACATCATATAGTTATGTCAACAGATGCAGAAAAATCATTTAATAAAATTCAACACTCATTCATGTTCAAACTAGGAAACAGACAGGAACTTTAATAAACGTAAATACCAAAAATCTGTAGACACATAGTCTAATAATGGTGAATTCTTAGAAACATACTCTTTAAAAACAGGAATAACAAAAGGATTCCCATGAACACTGATTCTATTCATCAAACTATTAGGGGTCCCAGCCAGTAAAGCAGGACAAGAAAGGAACATAAAGAATAAAGATGGACAGAAAGAAACAAAGCTGTTACCAATTTTTACAATTTGATTACTTATATACAGAAACTCTAAGAGACTCTAAAGACATTGTTAATAAGAGAATTGAAGAAATTTTGCTGGATGAAAGATCAACATACAAAAATTAATTGCTTTCTTAATACCAGCAGACAAATTGAAAATATCTTAAAAGAAAAAACCCTCCATTTACAATAACAACAACAAATATGGAATACCTAGGGATCAGTTTAATAAAAGATGCATATGGCACAGCTGATATCACAAATCTTTATTGAAAGGAGTAAAAAAACTACACAGATGGAAGGTTATGTCATGTTCTTGAATGGGAACACTCAGTTTCACAGAGATGTCAGTTATCCCAAATTAGTCTATATATTCAATGTGAAAAAAACAGAATCCTAACCCAGTTTTTCAAGAAAGTTTACAAAGTAAAGGTAAAATTAATATAAAGAAGCCAAGAGGAATTTGAAGTAGAAGGTGAAGAAATTTTCCCTGTGAGACATAATGATTTATTATAAAGTTATTATAATGGAGAAAATGTATAATTGGTAAACATATGATAAGTACCCAGAAACAGACCCAGACGTGTGGGAAACCTTGTAAATGCAAGAGTTACTACAAATCAGAAGGGGAACAATTGACTACTCAATAAATGGAGCTGGGACAATTGTTAATACACACACAAAAAATATTTATTTATTTATTTATTTATTTAAGGCAGATTAGCCCTAAGCTAACACCTGCTGCCAATCCTCCTCTTTTTTGCTGAGGAAGACTGGCCCTGGGCTAACATCTGTGCCCATCTTCCTCTAGTTTACATGTGGGACACCTGCCACAGCATGGCTTGACAAGTGGTTCTAGGTCCACATCCGGGATGGGAACCGGTGAACCCCAGGCCCCGAAGCAGAGCATGTGAACTTAACAGCTGTACCACCAGGCTGGCCCCCAAAATATTTATTTAGATCCCTTCCTCATATGTACAAAAAGTAAATTCCAGATGGATTAAAGGCAAATATGAAAAACAAAACGGTAATGCTTTTAGGAGAAAATATAGAACAATATTTTTATGAACTTGGGATAAGGAAAGATTTTTCAATAACAAAAAAATCACAAACCATAAAGAAATTTTAAAAATCAACTACATTAGAATTGCAACTTCAAAATTTTTAAACAAAAAATTAGTGTCCAGAATAAATAAGGAAATTCTACAAATCAATAAGAAAACCCAAGCATCGAAATCAAAAATAGGCAAAGGATATGAATGGCCCAATCATGGGATAGGAAATGACCTGTAAACATGTAAAAAGGGTACTGGGCCACTCAAATAATTAAGGAAATGAAAATTAAAATGAAAAAATCAGATATCATCTCACACCCCATCAGCTGGCAAAAACCGATGTCCGTGAAGACCAAAGGTTAGCAAGGATGTGGAGGGTGCTGGTGGGTGTATAAATTATTGTAATCATGGTGGTAGGCAGAATAGTGCCCCAACCAAAGATGTCCAGGTCTTTATCCCCATAACCTGTGGACATGTTATGCTTCATTGCATTGAAGATAGAATTAAGGCTGCTGTATAAGATACGGAGTTAATTCTAGATTATCCAGACAGGCCCAATGTAATCACAAGAGTCCTTAAAAGTGGAAGGGAGAGGTGGAAGAGAGCATCAGAGGAGGAGACGTGACACCAGAAGCAGGCTCAGAGAGATGCCATGTTGCTGACTGCAGAAGATGGAGGAAGGGAACCCTAAGCCAGAAGCTAGAAGCTCTAGAAGCTAGAAAAGTCAAGGAAACGGACTCCCTTCTACAGCCTCTGGGAAGAAACCTAGCCCTTCCGATGCCTGGATTTTAGCCCAGTGAGACTCATGTTGGACTTTTGAACTATAGAAATATAAAGTAGTAAATTTGTGTTACTTTGGAGCACTACGTTTTTGGTAATTTCTTATGGCAGCTATAAAAAAACTAATACATCCACTTTGCAAAGAAACTTGGAACATCTAGAAACTTAACTCTCAGAAACATAACCACTGCTTTGCTACTTAATTATGCAGTCCAGGGACCATCAGCACCGCCTGAGAGCTGGTTGGAAATTCAGATTCTCCACTTCTACCCTCAACCTGCTGAGGCAATAGCTAACAAGACGCTCAGGTGGTTTCAAAGCACATGAAGTGCAGAAGCAGCGCCCTAGGGAATGTCTCCCATTTATGCGCAAAGAAATAGGTATAAAAACTATTGGTGAAAAACTATTGGTGAAAGCAAATAATAGTCATAATAATAAGAAGAAAGATTTTAGCCGTAAGATTTTATGGTCTTTCAGCCATAGAGTGTATGAATAAATTGTTGCATACTTATACAATGGAATATCATACAGCTGTGAGAATAAACAAAGAAGAGCTTCTTGGAGATAAAACTTCAGCATAATGTTGAATGGGAAAAAAAACTTTGTGGCAAAGAGATATGTACAGTATGATACTATTGATATAAAATTTTAAAGCATACAAAACAGCACTATGAAATGCTTATTGATATGTACACATGCAATTGAAGTGTAAAAACATTCATGAAGATGATAAGTACCAACTTCAGGATGGTAGTTGCCCTGAGGGAGAAAAGGTAACGCATGGGATGGAAAACAGTTACGGCACAAGGTTGAATTTTGACAAAGCTGGTTGGTGGGCATAGCGGTGTTCCTTATATTATTGCCTACATTTGTCTAATGGCTTGAAATATTTCATAATTAAGGAGAATACATTAGTTTACAAATAGAATTTATACAATTTCTATGCTGAAGCGTCTTCATCAATTTCTAACTCAAAAAAAGTTCTTAGCATTTATTTTTGTATTATTTGATCGGAATTAGTCAGCTAAAAATGACTAACCTGGAGTTTTCCCCTTCAAGCCTCCCAGGGCATTAGTGAATATTGCGCCAAAAAGCCTTATGCCAGTTTGCTGTCTTCAGTTTCAACAACAGGCCCATTTATCATGACCTTCTCTAGCAATTGCTCAGTATGTCTACATAATCTAGTTCTGTGATCTAATGCATTCTGTACTGACTGGGCATTACGCTTAAAATTCCTGATCATTTAAGGAAAAGCGCTTAGTAAAAATAAACAGAAAACAAACAAAATAAAACAATGTTTTCAGATGAACACAACATTTTTTAAAAAGAAAACCTTGAGTATATCCAATACCTTATACTCTGTGGGCATATGTCTAAAATCTGTTTGAGACTGACTCTACCGACCCACATGTGGAAAAAGCAATTCCATTATTTATTGTCACCCAAATACATTCAATTCGATCCAGAATCTCCTTTCATTAAATTTACTCACTGATACTCTGAAATTGCTGGCCCTCTTTCCTTAATCCTTATATCTAAGTGGCCTTTACATATGGACATGTCCCCACCATTTAATAAGGGTCTGTGTACATGTTTTCATTGCATATTTGATTCTTTCTGTGTGTACCTTCTGTATACAAAGCCAGATTCAAAGTAAATTGAGGCAAGAAAATTCTTTTTCAAGAAATCCCTAGAAACCACTTTTCCTGAGACCTTTAAGTACTTGAGAGGATTTTGAGAAAAAGTCCACACCATAAAGCGATAAGCACATGTTCCCCATATGTTTGCAGAGGAGTCCCTGTAGCTTATGTAGTATTTTTTCTTTAGATTTTGCCATTTTTAATCCAGTTGTCCATACATGTCTTTGAGACAAATCACGTGTGACAAACAAACTGAGTCTAAACTGCGCTTGAAATAGTGCAGAAATTGGGGGTTTAGATTTGCATTGCTACTTTTCTAACTATTCATAAAAATACGGCACAGTTTCCATATGTCGTCTGTCTAAATCATGCCTCGGTATCTCTCAGGAACGTGACTGCATTCCTCTGCGCTATTTTTTTTTGGTTCAGTTGCACTTAGATTCACGCTCATGGCACTGGTTACTTTTCATTTAAAACAGCATCCAAACTTTGTTTCTCGTCAGGAATTCTTTATCAGAACTGTTTCCTTCTCAAGGGTGTGGTCTGGTTACTGTCAAATGTTCCTCTTTCCTCATGGGGCATTACTCAGGGAAAATTTTCATTAGATAATAGTACTGATTGTATCATAAAATATTCCCTTTCGCGGAATCAGTTTAAGTCACGCGTTAATGATCTTCCAGAATAAGTCATCATAAGGTACTGCGTTATTTTTAGCAGAAATCTTGACCATCAGTCCGTGCTATTTAATGTGTAAGTGCAAAGTTTATTGTGTTGACAATAACGGTATTTCTATTGCTCACAGGCTGACAAAGTCATCATTCCTTTTGTTGTTCCCTCAATAGGTAATGCCATGTTGTTGAGGGTGTTACCTGCTGTGTATGAAAAGCAGCCTCAAGCGATTAACAGACGCCTGACGGAACTCCTGGCCTTGATGTCTCGGCTGGAACAACCAGAACAGTACCATCTTCTACGGCTTTTGCACGTAGCAGCAAAGACAAAGCAACCGGAGGTAAAGAGTACATTGTATACATGACGGTCCACACAACTAGGCATGTTTCTGGGTCTGTGACAGGATGTGTGCCTAAGGGTTCCTGTCTCATGAGTCCATACACACCCAGCTTTAGATGAAAGCGCTCATCCACTTTTTCTAGAATCATAAAAGTGAGGAGGTAATGGCAGAAGCTGGGTACTGTCTTAGGGTTCTCCAGAGAAACATAACCAATAGGATGTGTGTGTGTGTGTGTGTGTATTTATATAATTTATTATGGGGAACTGGCTTATGCATTTATGGAGGCTGAGAAGTCCCACAGTCTGCCATCTGTAAGCTGAGGACCTGGGGGAGCGAGCGGTGTAGTTCCGGTCCGAGTCTGAAGGCCTAAGGACAAGGAGAAATGATGGTGTGAGTTCTAGTCCACGTCCAAAAGCCTGAGAACCGGAGGGCTGGTTCTGTAAGTCCCAGTCCGAGGGGAGGAGGGGACCGACCGATGTCCTCAGCTCAAGCAGTCATATCAGGCCCTCAGTGAATGGGATGCAGCCCTCCCACACTGGGGAGGCGACCTGCTTTACTCATTCTATCAATTTAAATGCCAATCTCATCTGGAAACACTCTCACAGACACACCTAAAATAGTGTTTAATCAAATATCTGGGCACCCGCTGACCCAGTGAGAGTGACACATAAAATCGACCATCACAGGTACAAACACAGCAAATGTGCAAATCCATAGCCACTGTAGGATAGTGTCAGTGAAAGTTTAGTGTGGCCATGCAGTCCTAGGGATCTACGGTTTCTCAGACAGGACCAAAGAAAAGACCTACATATGCCTTGATTTATGGGGAAATGAGCCTGTAGTGAGAGTAAAGTCTCTTTTTCTAGATAGCGAATTAGCTGTTTTTTGGATTCAAGTAAAACATCGTAATTAGAATGTTTGTGATTATCAGTAACAGAACACACAACCCACAGTGGTTTAAACAATACAAGGAATCTATTAGCTAATGTGTTGGGAAAAAACCTTCAGATCAGGCTTGATCCAGGGGCTCAAATCATGTGAACAGAACAGCTTCTCTATCTCCATTTTCAGATTTGATTTCTAGGTTTTAGCTTCCATTTTCTGCAAGCTTTCTCATTGCGGACTCCAGATGGGTGCTAGGGGCTTTCTAGGCATTATGCTTCTCCTACCTCAACTACCACCACCAAAACTCAAGTGGAAGTCCTGATATTCTCTGATAAGGACACATGCTCAACCCCTGGAGATTCTCCTGAACTCCAAGAATATTCAGATAGAAACTAGAGGTATGCTAGGAAGGGAGAAGTAGAAATGGATTCTGGAGAGTACCAACATGTGTGCACAGTGAAGATTAATGGTCAACCCAAGGTTCAATCAATTATGATTGTATCTCTGCTCCAGTTCCTGATAAAATCAATATCTACTACTTGAAAAACCAGTTAACACTAAGGTGAAGACTGGAACATTTGCACTCAACATTAGAAGTGTTCAAAGAAAGGAAGGAAAGAATGGTCACGTGCATAATGAAGCACAGTAGACTGCAAGCTCTTGGTGGTAAGGCACGATTTCTTCTTTGCCTCTGGATCCCACACCTTGGCATAGTATCTGACAGCACTGAATAAAATTCATACAACCAAACCGAACTAAACAGAGTGATAAGTGTTCTACAAGTGGTATAAACACAGAGAGAGGGGCAATGAATTCTGTCTTGGGAGAAATAGGTGCCATGCATACCCACAAAGGGAGCAGCATCGGGGCCAGACATTGAAGATTCCAAAGGTTTGTGCCAGGTGGAACAGAGGAGCCAAGGGCCTTCGGGAAGTGGAGACAGGGCTAGGAGTCCTGGACACTGGAGAGCAGGCTTGAGCCCCACCCTGGAGATTTCCATTCAATATGTCTAGGTGGGCCCCCTCCCCACGTGCTGCCTTTTTACAAGTTCTCGGGAGATGCTGCCCCTGCTGCTTCCGGGCCCACACTTGGGATAGCAAGGCTGGAGGTCGGGCAGAGGTCTGGGGATGTCCGTGTCATCTGTTTTGTGCAGAATGACTGTGCAGCTACAGAAGTTTAGAGGAAATAGGGAGGGTTAAAAAAATCCAGTAAGAATAAAAAGATTGAAGACGTGAGAGAAAATATTAGCTAGAACAGGGTGCACGAGTTCATTAGGGAATGAATTCCAGAGCACACCTGGGGGCATCAATGTCAGAAAAGACGAAGGGTAGAGAGGATGAGCGAAGCTGCAGGGCAGTGTGGGTGGGAGTGGAGTGGAGAGTTCACCGGGTCACCTAAACGGAGGCTCAGGGTGAGGGGCACGGATGAAGTGGCGCCCTCATTTCCTGTGCTGCTGTAAAGTTATCACAGACTTAGTGATTTAAAGCCACACGAGTCTATTACCTTACAGGAGGTTAGAAGTCCAAAAGGGGTCAGAAGAGCTGCATTCCGTCTGGAGACTCCAGAGGAGAATCTTTCCTGCCTTTTCCAGCTTCTAGAGGCTGCCTGCACTCCTTGGCTCATGGCGGCATGACTCTCACCTCTGCTTTTCGCATCACATCTCCTTCTCTGACTCTCACCCTCCTCCCTCTTCTGAGGACCCTGTGGTTGCACTGGGGCCAGTCAGATGACCCAGGATTATCTCTCCATCACAAGACCCTTAACTTAATCCATCTACAAAGTCCCTTTTCCACGTAAGGCAACATATTCACAGGTTTAGAGGTTAGGATGTGGACATCATTCGGGATCATTATTCTGCCTACCACAGATAGAGTCTGGGGACCAGGTGTTACAGGGAGTAAGGAGGGGTGACTAAAGGCCAAGCTTGGTTTCATAAAGGAGGCGGCTGGCATGCCATTTTATCCGCAGCCTGAGAGCAAGAGAAAAACAAACAGTTTTTGAGAAGACAGGTTCAATAAGAGTTCAAGGGGATCTGGAGAGAGTAACTGAATTCAACTTATTTCCCATGGGGTGAAGGCTGGGCATGACAGTAAATGAAACCAAGAGGAGGCTTACTTATAGAAAGGGGGAGGGGAAAGGACTTGGGTTCACCCCATCCAAAAAGGCAGGGTCGGAAAGTGAGGGTGGCATCGTGTGTGGCATTCAAAGAGGTCCCATCAGACCCCTGGCTACAGCCCTTCTGTGGCTGCCCAGAGACTCAGAAAGGGCTTATGAGACCATTTAAAACCAGGCCCTGACCACTGCCTGGCTTCCTAGAGTCTCTTTAACCCCAGCACCTCCAACAACTATAGAGTCCCAGGAACCAGGAGATGGGCATTCTCTCTCTCAGGGCACAGTTTTTATATATATACTGTGTTCTCCACCTGGAATTTTCTTCCCTCACTACTACAGCCCTTTCTGGGTGGTCTCTTTCTGGTCCTGGTCCTTTACACAGCTGCTTAGATGTCGCTTTCTTGCTGGGAATCTTGTTTGACTCTTTCCTTTCCCCTAATCTCGGCCGCAGCAAATTTCACCCTGTAATGCATCTGCCTCTACTGTTCTCTCTCCGTCTGGACCACCTTAGCTGTGATGCGAATGCTCGGGATATGAGGACCATCTTATTTGCCACTGTGTCTCCAGTGCCTCGCACAGTACCTGGCACACAGAAGTCATTCCAGGAATATTTCTTAACCCAGATGAGTTACTGCTAGTGCCTAAATTTGCCGAGGACTTTATCATTCACAAAGGACTTTTTTGTTTTGAGGAAGATTCGCCCTGAGCTAACATCCATTGCTAATCTTCCTGCCTTTTTTTTTTTTTTGCTTGAGGAAGATTAGCCCCAAGTTAACATCTGTGCCAGTCTTCCTCTATTTTGTATGTGGGATGCTGCCACCACATGGTTGATGAGGGAGTGGGTCCACGCCCAGGATCCAGACGCGCAAACTCCAGCAGCTGAAGCAAAGGGTGTGGAACTGTAACCACTCTGCCACAGAACCAGCCCCCACAAAGGACTTTTTCTTTAACATCTAATATCTTATTTAATCCCGCATATAACTCTATGATGTGTTATTTTTTTCTTCATTTACATCAGTCAAAATAGATGCTCTGAGAGGTTAACTTGCCCCCATCACATGGGTAGTAAGAGGTAAGTGACGGTCCAGGACTCTGACTCCCCACCCCCTCCTCTCTTGGCCTTGAGAGGTGACCAAGCAGGCTCCGCTCGAGAAGGCCACAGTGGGAGCAGTGTTCTCAGCTGGTCACGGGAGGCAGGGGAGGGTGGACAAGGGGCGCTAATAGTGGCCAAGCTCACTCCAGGTACCAGACACTGTGGGGGAGTCCTACAGACATTATCTCCCTGTTCCCTGCAACAAGCTTCTCATTTTGTAAACAGAGAAGTTGAAGTTTGGAGAGGTTAAGAACAGGGCTGGTACCAATGAGTGACTTGGTGAGGTAGCTTTCCACGCCCCTTCCTCTTTATCAGCCCCTCCACTTTTCCTATGGGCAGTGTCCATGTCTCCTACTGGCTATATAGTCACACTGCCCTTCTTAAGACTGCCATTTACAAAAGACCTGGGGCTGATACTGGTTGGATAACTTTCTCAAAGCCATACAGGGGAGGCCAAGCTACATTGTAAACTCAGTCTAATTCCAGCCAATGAGATGTTTCGACCTCAACACACTGAACAGTTGAGGCTGCGGCTAGTGAAGCAAATGGGAGTGCCAGAGGACACAGTGGAAGGTGGCAGTCAGAAAGGTGAGCTGGACAAGAGAAGGAGGAGACTTGAACTGAATGAGGAGGAGAAGAAAGCAGATTCCTGTAGGTACTGTGGTTGCTGAGTGTGGCTCCCAGAAGGAAGAAGCAAGGGGTTAGGAAGCACCCATAGTGATGTGAACAGACCCTACCTGTCCCAGGATCCTAACCGATGGGGAGAAGTTGTGACGGGGGAACTGCCCAACCTTTTGTTTTCCATCAGCTCTTCCTTTGTGTTAAAGTAGCTTCCTTTGTGTTAAAGTTTGCCTCCTTCAGCTCTTTAGCTCTTCATGAGCTCACACCTGGTTACTGAGTCATGCGGGCA